CAATCCCATACCATTAGTTCTTCATATTTGTTTAATGCAAGCAGCGATTCATTCAGAAGTGTAATTATCAATAATTGTAGTATAATTCTTATCAGAAGTAATTCGTCATTAAGTGGAACACCTGCAGTAAATACTTATGGCGTGTATTGTTGAAGACTTAAGATCAAAATAAACAAAGAAAAGAGACACCTGCAGAAAATTTGAAAGAAAAAATTTAAAAGATAAAATTGAACGGTATATTCGGACTGCTATAAGTAATATGAAAAGATTTGTACTTTTATGGATCTGTTATATCCATTAAAGTATAGTATATCAAAGCTATAGCTTTGATATATTATATTTTAAAGTAATTGTATTTAGTTTTAGCATGCTTAAAGCTAATTATAATGGAAAATGTAAAAACATATCTTCATACCACTCTATTGAAAGTCTAAAGATATAGTCATAAGCTCAACTATATTTCATAGATGAAATCAGGTGAAACTCACATTAAAATCTCTCGAAATTTTCGTCTTTGTGAGCTGTAGATTCTTCAACTTGTATATTTTAATCTTAATTAGAAAAGTTTTGAGCCTTAAAAAGTTAGAATAAAAACTGAAAAGAAGATACCTAATAATGTGGGGTCATAACATTGTCGAAAGGATCTTTATTATTTGCTTCAGGAAAATTATCGAAGGATTTATGTTTATCAAAAATAGACAGGAAAATCAAGAAAGAAAATCATAAAGAGTGTTATGTTTATCGGAAAGAGATAAGGTCTTGATTATTTCCAGCAGACAAAAGCGGGCCTTCTATAGATTTTAAAAGTAATTACAAAATTTTGACCATTCCGTATGAAAAAACAACTTTCTACAAATTGCTCATTTTATCTGCTTTATTATAATATGAATAGTGAGGAATTGTATATAATAATAACTAACTTTGAGCGATCTATATAAGGTTTTCTAGAAAAATCTAATTCCATATGCGCTGTCTAGACTGACTGAAAAAGACGACTTTTAAAATGGTGACCTGTGATTGAAATCGGGGTATTTCTATATGGTGCTGGTATAAAGATCAGAGGCACCTTGAGAAGGTTAAATAATCGGAGCCAAATAAGAAAGTGAGTGAATGCATAGATGATAATTTCTAATAGAAATAAATCGTTGATTATACATATTACAATCCATAAGAGTTGTAGCGTAGTTACAGAGCATTTGCTTGCAGAAGCAGTCGATAACAAATGGAATGAGAGTGAAAGAGTAGGAATATATGAAATATATACACAGTTTTAGCATATATATGTAACTTTAACATCCATTTCTACTGGTTATAGGGTACACAATTCTTCTATTATATATGCATTGAGTAAAAAGAAATATATAATCTCTTACTTTGATTTGTGATATTAAACTAATCTCACTGATTTGTGAAAAAAGTAAACAATCTTTTTGGTATAAAAGTCAGTTCCCATAGATTTCATTTCCAGTAGTATTTCAAGCTCTGTAGTCTTCGTAAATCAACAAAAAATTAGAAATTAGAAATTTCGAAATGTTGCGTTCTATTTTGTTAATTACATTAGTTTTTGCTCTGGCAAATGCAACTAATGTTCAGAAATGTCAGTTTTGTTTTTTATTTCTTTAATAATATATTTTTATTAGTTAAATAATTCAATCATTTATTAACAATGTTAAATTGTAGGTAAAAAAGGAGAACCCTTTCCTTTGAGTGTTGACATCAAAGGATGTCAAGAGGAACCATGCGATATTGTTAGGGGTTCCACAGCCGTTATGGATGTTCATTTCGTAAGTCGTAAGTATTTACTATGATTATAAATTTATATATTTTATAAATTTTATATTTAATTGAAAATACAGCCAAGGACAATGTTAAAAAGTTGACAGCTAAAATTACAGCCACAGCTTTAGGTATAACAACTCCATATGAGCTTCCCGAAAGTGAAGCTAATGTATGTAAGAATCTATTGAATGGAGCCAGTTGTCCGCTTGATGAAGGTGAAGATGTCATTTATCAACTCAACTTTTACATTGACTACATATATCCAAAAATACCAGTTAAAGTTGAAGTATCACTCGTCGATGAAGACAAAGAGTCATTTGCTTGCTTCGCTGTTGATATTAAAGTTAAATAATTAATTTACAGCAATAAGATTAAGCAAAATTTTGATATATACATTTATTGGGATAAATATTATTATATTGATGGAAATAGAAAGCAGTATTTTTAAGGCAAGCCTCGTATTGATGTAGTAAAGAGTTGTATGAACTGACAGAGTGGTTTCTAGTGCATGAAAGATCTCAACAAGGAAACAAAACAGGGATGTTTAAAATATATTTTCTACTTTTTTTATCAATCTTAATGTGGAGAGTAATTCCTCGAAGAGAGTCTATACCCTTCATACAAAGAAACATATATATCATACAGTGTCAACTTTAATTCACACCTTGGCTTAAGTCTAAAGATAAATATTTTCCATCAAATTAATAATTTTGAACTCAATAATGTTATTAAAATGTATTATCTTATTCGAAATTAATATGACAAATATAAATAAATTTAATTAGAGCATATAAAATAAAATTCTATTTCATTTTAACAAAAGTATGTACAAAGATTCTGCTGTCCGTATATAATTTTTGCACTAGAATTGCCAGGAAATTGAACGTTGTTAACTTTGAGCTATAGATCCATGTGCAAATATATAAAGTCAACGCCCACCTATTTACCCCATACAGATTTAGAGTTTTATAAATATTTCTTTTGTTTATTAATAAACAAACAATGCACTTGCTGCGTTATTAATTACAACAAAACGCATAAACCACAGCTATACAAATTAACTAAATCATTGAAAATTAAAAATTTTCTGTCTATTGTCAGCTCTTTCTATTCAAAATAGATATCTTGTCATAGGATATAAAATTCTGAACTTAAGCATGTAAAATAAATTGATTAATTGAAAGCATGCAAGGATGGATCACCAGCATCTTAGCAATACCACTAAAAGGCATCGTTAAGTGAATCATGCAACACTCTATTCGAATCTAAGAATTGATCGGATTTACCATGTAAGCGATATCAGCAAACGCTAAATTTTGATGACCTATGACCCATCTATACAAATAAGTTAAGTGTTTTAAATCGAAGTCTCATTTTTACATGTCCAATAGATTCAGCGCTTAGTGAAATCGAAAACTCTTCCCTACCTGTGCGTATATAATAACTGAATTTTCTTTTGTTTTATTCTGTGTTTAAATAAATTTGTATAATAAAGAAATATAATATAGAACAAGCAAAAAATATATGTTAAATATATTGTCTTGAAAAAAATTAGATATTATTTTAAAATTCACTATGATCCTCAATTAGCTTAACAACTCGAGACAGGTTTCCGCTTCTTTGAAAAATCTTTCTTTATTCAGCTTTGTCTTTTGTTTAAACTTCTTCGTTTCTCTGGGTTAGGGTTCTAAGAGCCTTCATTAAACGATATTACTACTGATTTCCTCTGTTGTTAGCATGTGGAAGGCTGCTTCCAAAAAACTTGTTATGGAGTCGGATCTCATTCATATTTACAAATGGCAACCATCTCTATCTCGGACATTTAACATATGTCATCAAAGTCATCTGTCAACTGTGTTAGTTCTTTATTGCTCTCACATGCATCATAATTTGCACTGAAAATTCTGAGTTTGTAATTCAAAAATCTTTTTTTTAAAGAATCGCAGTTATTCCTTAGCCACTCGCGCCTCAAAAATACTTTCCATGGACCATTAATTTTCGCTCGAGCGAAAAAGGTGTTTGAAGCAATAGTCAACTCAACTTTTACATTAAGGTAGCACTAATTGGACTTAATGTACGAGGCTGGAGCAGGACTCGGTAACGTGTTGTTATGGCCAAGTAAGTAAGTAAGTATATATAAAACATTATAATATTGAGTTATTAGAAGTAAGGATGAAAAATAATCGAATCTCTAAGAAGTACAATAGAAAAGAGAGAGGATGTTTGCCGTAATCTGGATTCTTTGTGTTTCCCTAAACATTCAAAAAATTATCAAATATTCTTAGTAAATATTTTTCAAATTTCTTTTAAAATTTTATGTTAATATGTTTAAATATTTTTTTTTATATCATATATTTTTCGTGTTTGAGTTATTCGTTACTTTTGCGAGAAGTTTTTATTTTCTAGTTCTTTTTCTTTGATGTTCCCCCAAAACAGTTCTTATTTATTTTTGATCGGTCTTTATATTCGTAATTTGATGAGTTCATTTTAGCTCATAAAGTCTTTGTGTGAATAATTGTTGTAGTTGTTGCGATTCTACAATGGAATCTGTCCGCACAAGTCCCGAAGATGATTTCCTAACAAAAGTTGGACGTTCCTTTGTTTGGCAATACTACAACATTATGAACAAGTGTCCGGAATGTCTCTACCGCTTTTACACAAATTTCTCGATCTTACGGCATGGCAGTTTAGAAATCGCTGTTGGTCAGAAGACGATTGAGTGCCGTTTAGAGCAATTACAGTATCACAATAGTGCGGTGAAGATTAATCAACTTCAAATCTATCCAGCATTAGATAATAGCATTATAGTCGTTGTTGGAGGTCAACTGTTACGCGAACAAAATCTATTGGCTTTCACACAAACGTTTGTGCTCGAACATCACTCTGGGACACGGTACAGTATATTAAATGATATACTCACTTTCGATAACTATGACGGATATGCCAGATTCATAAACAGTAAAGGTGTTTTGCAATCTGTTATGGTTCCTATTATGCAAATACCGGATGGATATAATTGTAATGACCAGCTAATGACAGAAACTGATTCCGATGTATCTGATGATGATAATTCTTGTGAAGAAAACAACACTGAAAATATTTATACGCAGAATCCATCAATGCGTTATTATCCACAGGAAAATGCTTATGACTTGGGAGAAAGCATTATGCAAATAAATGATGATAACGTTCAAATATCAACTGCTGACAATACTGAGCAAGCAGTGCCATACGATTTCACTGAATCTAGTGAAGTACCGGAAATCTCACAAGCTCAGTTCGAGAATTTGATATGTCAAGAAGAATATATGGCAGAAATGGCTATGCCTTCATCTTGCTTTATACTGCCTGAGCAACCAAATTATTGTTCTGATATTATTTCAGAGACAGATGATAGTATATGTTGTTTTAGTGAGCCAAGCGGTTTGCACGAATCTAACTCTGATACTGATCATTGTTCTTGTGAGGAAGAATTTTCTGCAGAAAATTCTAGTGTAACACAAGATAAAATGGATCAATTGAACAACTTGATGAACTTGAAAACACCAGTTGTTGAAAGTAACAAGGATGAAGAAATTATTTTGAAGAAAACAGATGAATTAAAACAAAAACTGGCAGAAAAAGTTGATCAAGTACAGCAGGAAAGCAAAATTATTAATATTTCAAAAGTAGAAAAATTAAATTTACGACAACCACAGCAAAAGCCACAGCGTCAGGTATCAGCACCGATTAAACTTCAACCAGAAGTACATTTACAGTTTCGTTATAATAAATCGAGTTCTAATAGACCCGGTGAGTTGGCTAACAAGAGCACTAATAGTATGCAGCAGAAGAAGATACAACCAAAAACTACGAGTATTGTTACCACCACTTCGTATAAACAAGGTTAGTCTCGGCTGAATAAAAAATACTTAGATGTATGTTCATTTTATGCACTTAAAATCTTTAATATTTTATAATTTTGCTTAATTCCGTCAAATTCACAGAAAATCCTTTGCGTAATCGTCGTAAACGAATTTCAGATTATTATGGCGACAATCATCAATTATTTCTTGGCAACATTCCACTACAGGCTACTGAAGTAGAAATGCGCAAACTCTTCGAGAAGTTTGGTAAAATATTAGAACTACGAATCCTTAGCAATCCACCTTCTAAAATAGATTCAAAAGGTAGAAATTTACTTAATTATGGCTTCCTAACCTTTGAAAATCCGGAATCTGTGCAGAAATGTTTAGAAATATCTGTAAGTAGATCTTATAATATATGTATATTTATATATATTATACATAATCTTAGGTATACTCAACGAAGACATTAAAATTTCTACATATATTGAATGCAACTTCAATATTTATTAAATGCAATATCATATCTTCCAGTGCTCATTAATCGCATGAGACTATATCCGTTTAATTTTATTTAAAAATTAAGCCTATGTGTTCCAGCTAAAACTATATCTGTTATATAAACCAAATTTACTTTAATGCTTTTCACATTTTTAATGAATTAAAAAAAATTTTCTATAGCCTTTTTTCTATCCTAACAATCTGCCAAATGGACATCGCATTAATATTGAACGCAAGAAACGACGTATGGGATTTAGTAGTAATATCGCAAATGCTACCACAATTTCAAATAACCTAACAAAAGGTACTCCTAAAAATGGGGTACTAAACACTATAACTATCAAAAATAAACCAGAAAATCGTTCCCAATCGTCCCAAAATCAGTGTCGATCGAATTCTTTACACACTGTTCCCACTAAGCGTCGTCGCTGAAGTTGCAGCTCAATCTGAAAAAAGGACATCAACCTCATAACCGCAACAATTATCACTACAATTAGCACATAGAAATAAAGATAAATATGCTTAGTAAGAAGTGGCTAATTGCATATTAGTTACTAAATATTATTAATACCCGCTAATATAATAGTTAGTAATTTACTTATAATAAATACGCTGTCTACTTACTAAGGATTTTTATCTTTTTTTTTTTTATTTTTTATTTTTCATTTATTAATAAAAATAATAACATGAAAAATAAAATGGGTGTTTCAATTACCATCAATTTTAACAAACTGACAGGCTTTACAACACCGCGTTATCGAATCTCAGAATGATTACAGGCTACTCGGGGAGTTATGTAGATCTGAGGTCAGCTATTGTTTAGTCTGATGAAGAGATAAACAATAATCCAGTCAAGGGGTAGAGAGGGGTTATGAAGAAACTTCGCAGTTTATAGAGAGTAAAAGTGCTTAAGTGCTTAAGTGCGATGACTCAACTACTCTCAACATAATAAATTGAATTTAGTCAGAAAATAGATCATCAGTCCTAATCATAGGACTTAACTCGCAGAGAGTAAAAGGTATTTTGAAAAGAGAACCGTGGATTCCAGTGATTGTAGGTCTGAATGGAATGTAATACTCTAGCCTTGCAGCTCTAGTTTATTGAGCTCAACCAGTGACTGGAGGTCTGAACACCAAAATATGATTGAATACTATGAATGCCAGTAGCGTTGCCAGGATTATGCGAAAGGGAAATTCTTTTGGCAATGTTTTTACACTATATTATCTATTGATTATATTGTCACAGGAAACCTGTCACTCTCTCCTTAGTTACGCTACTGATTTTTAGATATTATGTTTTGTCAATGGTGATAATTCACATCACCGGAACTTGAAATTATACGTCTAGGAAGGAAATTTGTCGAGTGACAAAGTTAAAAAAGTCATGTTACTTCACTTTAGTTATCGTCCTGGTAAAAACGCATAACTTCGACTACAAAATTTTTAATAATATGAATGTAGCAATCAAAATTCGTCACATTTTTATCATTTTCAGAAAGAGAGCAGGTTTATTACATCCTCAGAACAAATGCCATACAATTATGAATTTTTGTTGATGCAACGGCGAAACACAGTTAGTTATGGATTTTACTACTCTAGAGGCGATAATATCTACCACGCGAAAGGAAAGCCTGAACTTTTATAAAATCTAAGTCTTAGCTATTGCGTATCCGGTTTCTTGAAATTTCTTTATAGTATTTATAGCGTATAGTGCGTTTAAATGGACATGTCGTCCATAATCTTCTTATAGTACACTGATAACAAAAACAAAATCTAAGAACTGAAACTAATTTTTATTCCTGATTATTAAATCCACTATCCTAAAAACTGTCATAAAAATTATGATTATTTTTAATTAGCAATTTTTTCCATAATCTATACTTCACTAGCAAAAATCACATACAGACAAATTTCTAAATTAATCACTTTGAAAGTAATATTTACTCCTCCCGAATATATTTTCAGTTCATAAAAATCATTAATTAATCTCGGAAAAAAGTTGTATTTTATTTCAACTGTGAAACTCAGTTGGAATGATAAATTAGTTTATTTACTCGACAAAGGATAACGAATGAAGATTTTTTGAATAATTAAAAAATCTTCCTTAAATGACTTTTTAAAGAAAACGACATCTGTTGCAAAAACGAAACTTAGCAGAACCCCATTAGTATACAGTTTTAACAATATAAATATCAATATACATATATCACATTTCTGAGATACTTATCCGATATCACTTAGATCTTGTAAGAACCCCATTAGTATACAGTTTTAACAATATAAATATCAATATACATATATCACATTTCTGAGATACTTATCCGATATCACTTAGATCTTGTAAGAAGCATTTTAATGTTATCTGATTTTTCACTGCATCCCCTAGTATTCTCATGAAGATCGTTAAAAGAAGTACTTACCTCTACTTTCTTCAGCTTGCCAATAATAAATGTAAAACACTTAAGTCACATATAACTTCCCGATTTACAATGACCTGTTACAACAAGACTAGATGTTAGGAACTCATCAAAAGGAATCGCGTGAATACTGTCAGACAAGTTGCTGGAAACTCTAGAAATATGCAAAAAAAATAAACTATAAAACATTTTCTGAGTGGCTTTTAGTGAACCACTTTTTTGATAGCTTTTCAGATCGATCATCGGTAAGAACAAAAGACTTATTAAATTATCTAAATTTGAGGCGATGAATTTAGTCTGTTTTTTTTCTATTTTAAGGTTTCTTGTGAGGAGAGTGGTAGCAAAGCGGCGAAAAATCACTTGCTGAGGTCAGTGGAAAATTGTCTCACGACCTGTCACTTCAACCAATCAAGCAACTACTATTAGGCGTCAATAGTTATGTAGGCTGTGTGCGAGTTCAACTAAATCGACACTAAATTGTAAATTTAATTTTCGTATTATTATTTTGGTTTGAGTCGCTCAAAAAAATAGAGAAAGGAAAGACCTATATATCTCATTTAATGTATGTAACCTATGACGTGGTGATATTTTGATATAACTGCGCAAGCTTGAACTTGTGTTTTTCAGTTAATTATTAATAAATTATTAATGTGTGAATAAATGTGTAAGGTATATAGTATAAGGAACCAATTATTAAACTCCAATTACTGCCAATGTAAATCAGATTGTATTAATTGCTCTGAAAGGTGTACGTATATATACGAATAACGATTACGTGTATTTGCTTCCCTCCAAATGAAGAGATTAAATATCACAACATTTTTAAACGTTAACAAATTGAAGTTGGTATGCATTGTGGATGCAATTATTTTGTATCCAGAGACACGCATTTAATAAGGAATCAACGCAATGCAGTGAAATGTCAAAAATCAGTGAAATTGGATATATGGCAGCAGTAATCTGCAGCGATCATATGTAATTGTTTGCTTAAATGTGCGGCCGAGGGAGTGGGTGAGTGTGGTGGTACGTTAATGCATTTTCATAGCGGATATCGATGTTGGGAATAACATACAATTGAAGTTTTAATAAATTATTTACATGTTCACCTGCACGAAAACAGTGACAAAGTAGGTGCCATGCCATGCTTTTGCTGCATTATAGTATGCGTTGCTTGTCATGCAAATCTGCCTGCTTCGTTGCGTTTGTGCAGCTCCAGGCAAATGCATGCTCTACACTGGCAATGCATTCAAAAATTTATCCCACAGCTATATTATATGGGATACAGTCATGAATTTATCAAACATGTAAGCGGCATTTAAGCCTTGATTCCCAACATGTGCCCCATTTCCAGTGTATTAAAATGCATCAGCTTGTTGTTGCATACAATGCAATTTTACCCAACAAGTATTTGGAACACTCCTCAATGCATTAATAGATTTCCTATGAGACAACAGGAAAACAGAAATCGATTCCATTTGCAAATGTAATTTATATGGCGAAATTTAGGATGGCTTAAAATACTCGTACTCGAAACAGAAATTGAGCACAAATATTATTTTAAAGCCCAACATTTTATATCTTTGATTTTTTTGTTTTTGCTCCATTTTCCCCAAAACCCAAAAGCAAACGATATGGATACGGATTTAATTTTACAAATTTGCAAAGTTCATATTTTAATGTTACGAGAACTCTTGTCACAACATGTTAAGGATATTCATTACTCTTGTTAAGGAAAGTGATTATTAAATTGATTTTTAACGTTTGTTTTGACGAAAGGAACAAAATTCTTAACATCAATGAAATTCAATAATTTTCAGAAGAAAGGTTTTTATCGAACAGTAGTGAATTGCAACAACAAAATTTTTTTATTATTTTTAATTGGGCCAAATGCCCATTATCAGTCGTCTTGGAATTATTTCTTATATTTAATCATTCGTAAATAATTGTTTGAGACTGCAAGTACCAAGGGTTGAACTCGTACCCTGCCAAATTTGAAGCTCAGAGTCAGTGTTCATTAGCCAACTGACTCAAAGCCGTACTTGACTTGTGAAAGTTCATTAACAAATTTATTTGCTGTTGTATTAGAACAATATCATAAACCAGCTGTAGAATAATTGAATTAATTATACAAATTATTAAATATTCAATTTTAAGTAATTATAAGTAAAACTTCTATTCTATTTAAATGGGCCATAGACTTGGGTATATATGATTAATTAAAGAATACAAATAATGATTAGGCATTATTTAAGAAAAAATTAACGTTTTTTGTTCTGGTTTCTTCATTGTAAATAATGACTGAACGTTCACCTCTAGTTAAACGAGAGATACTAGAGAGAGTATGACTAGAGACAAGAGAGAGACTAATTGCTAAGTTTCTCGTTAAGGAGTTAACATGTTCTGTCAGCATTTTATTATATTTGGTCATGTTATTAAACTCTGCTTTGAAAAAGTTGCTCTGGATTTGTAAGTCTCGGTGGATACTTTTATTTCAAATGTATTGTATTGTTCTGAATATTTTTGACCGAGTTTTTTGGATAAATTCATCATTTGAAATACTAGTTTACCAAACAGCTGAATACCATATGCCCACATTGGTTTTTATATGTCATTATACAAAAGTACTTGGTATTTTAAGCATAGGCTGAATCCACTGTTAACGAGCTAGTATAACTTACAAGTGTGAAGCTTCAATGTGCTTCGTCGCAAGGCTAGATGAATGTCTAGATACATTAGGTTAGCCTTGTAGATTAAGGCTACTTGAGATCACATAATATTTCACGAGTGTAATAATTATTATAATAAATATTTTGACATATACAGGGAAAATAAACTTAGTCTTTTCCAATATTACTTCCTTAATGTATTGTTAATAGTAGTGAGCTTGTACATTAGAGCCCACTTGATCGAAATAATGGCCTGTTGTGATATCATATGTGTCCAGTTTCGCATCAGCATAATTTAAAATATGAATAAAAGATCTGAATTGCAATAAAACAACATAAATTGTAAAATATACGTTTATTAATATACACATCTAATTATTGTTTAAAATATATCTAGGTAAAAAAAGACAAATAGCTGACAAATTTTTACAAAAATATGTTCCTGCGTAAACGTGATTTAAAAAACCCCAGATATATTTCCAATTTTTGCTATATAATTATAGCTGGCGTTGGTGCTTAACAAGTTTTTCATCTTTTGAAGCACTACGTTTTCGTTTTCTAAGTAGTTTAAGCTCTTCATTGCAATCAGCCCCAGAAGAGTTAGAACCCACCTCATCACTATCTGCTTTATGCTCATATGTTGAAGTGCGCTTCATACTGGATTGAACTTCATTGCAGGTGCAAAATTCGCTTTCACTATTTGTAACAGACATGAATGGTACATCTAATCCTTTACTCATCTCCATACGAATTGGTCTAGAGTGCCTTGCCATGTCTTCAACACTGTAGTAATAACCATTATTGTACTTGATGTATTTTTTATAAACTCCCTGCCTTAAAGCAAGATACATCTCAAGAGGGCTCCAATTCCTACGGAGCGCTAATTGAACTAATCTTTTGAGAGATGCGGGTGTTCCAACGTCACGCAATAGCTTAAGGATTTGGAATTTTGTTATAGGTGCCATTTATGGAAAATTTATTCCAAAATAACCTAAAAAGAAACGCCACAAAATAAAATTTAAGAGCAAATTTTAGTCAGGGAATAATGTTTTTGAGAATCAGTTTTATTCACTCATAAGTGTCATGCCATACAGATAGACATGATTTCATCAAATGTGTTATTTTTATTGTTTTCAATATAAATAAAAAATTGAGAATTGGGTTTAATTTAACACTTTGTCACGATCACAAGCCTATATGTGTCTATAATGCATAATTAAGTAACATAGCAACTCTACTGACTGATACTTAGGTCTTTTAGTTTAGTATGTATGGGCACGTCTGTAATGAACTTGCTTCGATAATAATATATTAAAGTACTGATTGTGTAAAGCAGAAATACATGTCACAATTCTACCATCAGGTCACAATAATTTGTATTTTTGTATGTAAAAAAAAAAATTGATGGGCGGAAGACCTTCTAAGATTGACTTGGTCAAGTTTTTCGCCAAAATAAATGTTATAAACCGATGGAGTTATGAAGTTATTCAAAAACTAGCTAGGGGTCATAAATAATGATAACCAATATACACAGCATTAAAATTGACCGAAGGTAGTAATTAACATCACCCAATAGTGTTAATCGCTCTTAATAAAAAAATTTTAATTGTAGTTAAATAAGAAATTAAATCAAATTTAGGACAACTTTTTTTAATAGACTTACCTGAGTACCAGAATTGAATAGATTATTAATTGAAAATTGGAGATAAATTTCTAATTTGTAGGATCCTCACTGAAGTTGGTTTTGAACGATTTTGACTGAACAAAAATTGAAATTACTACTTTGGATAAATATATTACATATTTATAATTTCAAAATATTTTCAACCAAATTTTATTTAAGTTTATAAAGGTTACTTGATTCAGAAATTGCATGTAAAATAATTTTTTCTGAATGACATCCAGTTTCTAGAGATGCAACAAAAGTACAACCCGAACATTTTGCTTACAATTCATAATTAATAATAATAATTAATAATTAATAATTAATTATTTAACTATTATTATTATTAATTCCATACTCTATTAGGAACTCTATTAAGAAAATAATTATTTAATAATCGTTAAGAAGTCATTATATAGATTACAAATTAAGGAGAGCCAGCACTTAAAGCTACTACTTTTACGAACTTCTCAAAAACTTGTTTTATTAATGAGTCCCCTCCAAATCTTTCTAAACTTTATTTAATTTTTATGTAATTTAAAACAGTATCTATTTTATTTCTACCTTATTTTAAATCACAAAAATTTTAACGAAGATACAAATGGTTCTTATAACTCAACATCTGCGTCCTCTTGAATCCGGCCCCTGCATTTGGTTTCATTAACAGCAGAATCATGCGATATTATGTGAACGCATGATTGCTGTCAAACGGGACATCAACTTGTTTTTCTGGAAAAGTCCCGTTTGACTTTGGTAGCTCTCAACTCCACAAAAGCAAGAACATAATAAGAACATAAATAAGAACATGGTAAGAACACACTAAGTAAACATTTGTTATATATATTATTATTAACTTATATACTACACACGTCTATCGGTATATCTGAATGCATTGTACTTTTCGATAAAGTCATTTTAACCAGAAATAACAAATTATACAGATGTCCAAATCGGTACAAACTATTCAATCTATAAACAGTTTTTGAGATAGAAAGCTCTCTTGAATTTTTCATTTAAATTTGTGCTTGCTCTAAAAGCTGATATATGTGAGAGAAAGCTTCTTTGTGTTGGAAAAAGCTATTTTAAAATTGTCAATAAATTTTATGTTTACATTAAACATCTATCTATATGATTCAGTTGTCTACGTCTCAACCATAATTATTTAATCTAAAAAACTAAACCGAAATATATAAATAAATAAATTGCCGTAAAATTTATTGACCTTAACAGTGTAGTCAATGGAATAATTTATTATGCATTAAATTATTAAATGAATATTTAAGGATTTTTCATTTAGCCAAAGCTAACGTTGAAAGAATGTATTACTGATAATAATTAAAAATTATCTTCGTAATATTTTTGATGATTGTAACTGAGCTACGTATCGGCTTTCTATATTCATTCAGTTATATATGTATTTCAGATAATACAACTTCTTAATTTTCTTAATTAATTCGAAAATGTATAAATATATAAAAACAAATGTTTTAAATTAAAAAAAAAAATTATTAAAATATATTTGGGTAAAAAAAAATATATGGAAGAATAGTTCTGACAATTTCTGTGTAAAATTGTTCAACAATTTTTATGTTTAAAAAAAAACCCCGATTTTAACATAATTAATAATGTGTGATTGAAGAAAACTTAAAGATCCCTTAAATGCATTTTTAAAGGATCTTTAGGTTTACCGCAAATTGCACACATCTTATCTTTGACTGCATCCATACCGAAGGGGGGTTCATACTGCTGCATACTGGTTTGCTGCTCTTCAGCCTGGGATGGTACTTCCAAATCACCATCTGAATTCGATGAAATCTCTTCAAATAATTTTTCAGTATCGTTAATATTGAAATAATGATTATTATATTTTTTTAAATATTTTTTTTTAATCCCCTTTTCCAAAGCAGCTTGCAAATCCTCAATAAGCGAAACCCTCTTCCTGCCTGGTCGGCGTGAAACAAACTCTGACAGGTCTTCTATTGTTGCAGGGGCGCCATAATCACTTAATATTTTTATTATTTTTGGCTTAGTAATTGGCGCCATGTGTATCGGCCCCCTAGATACTAAAAAAGTTTAAACTTTATTTAATATTAAAATATATTTGCAATCTAATGTAATTATATATACATATAATAATATTTATAAATAAAAATTGATATTTTATGTACTCATAAATAAAGATAAATATTAAAATTTTATGCACTCATACTAAAAAATAAAAATAAATAATTTAATATACTTATAAAAATTCCCGTCAATTTTGAAGCTCAGAGTCAGTGTTGATTAGCCAGCCAACTGACCCAAAGTGACGTAAGTAAGTCTTTTATTTATAAAAAGTATTGACAAGGTACGAGTTTAACCTTCAATAATAAAAAATTAATTACGAATAAACAAATATAAAAAATAATTCCAAAAAGACCATTGATGATGGACATTCAACCATACTCGAAAAATGCAATTATTTAAAAATAACGAAATTTTATTGTTGTGATTCATGACTGTCAGAAAAATGCGACTCTATGCCCGCTAGGGAAAATGGACACTAAGAATGTCAGAAAAACATCCTTATTGAAAACGATAATTAATATTAAGAAAATAGTTTTTTTTATAGACATTAAACTGAACTGACGTTAAGAATCAAATTAAATACTTATACAAATATAATTATAAATAATTTCTATAAACGGTCCGGGTTGTTCTTTGGATGTTGAAACACCGGTGGTTGTAGTGGACGAATTTGTCGTATATTATCTTATCAGGTGAATAACAACAACTGACAATTTAATATTAAAGATAATACATTACGATGGATTCTAAATTCTACATAAATATTAAACAAAGTAATTTGAAACGAAAACTTACCAGAAATCCAAATAAACAACAATATGATATCAGCAAGGACTGTGATGAATTTCTATTCAATTGAATCCAGAGAACAGAATATCTAAATCTGAATGAAAAAATGTATTAGAATTCAAACTAATTTAATTTCAAACTAAAATTTCAAAAAAATTTTTATAAAAGAAAATTATTTGTTATTTAAATATTAATAAAATTTTATTATATTAAAATTCGCAGAACATATCTTTTGGTTGAACTAAAAGTTATAGTTTACAACCCCAATAAACCATTTATTATTATAATAAACAAAAGACGTTGTATACAAAATCTGATGGTTCGCCATCTAGCGGCAAGTGCTATATGAAATTAATTTATATACATTGCTAAAAATAGTGAACTCTATAAAAATCTGTCTTCTTGTTGAAGCGCGTATATATCAATCAAAAATATTTACATATTTTAATAATAATTATGGTATGTAAATAAAAAAATGCTTTTTTATTAATAGTCACTCACCCAATTACCAGAGTTAACAGCGCGATTAAAACATCAATCGAAAGTTACAAAGAATCTTCAAATTTTCTCTACTCCGATTTTATGAAACACAACCAGTGTAAATAATTTAATAATACATATAGTTTGTTTTATTTCTCAGCTTATTTAACAAATATGAAATGACATTCATGGCAAAGTGATTGAAAAAAATTATTAATTTATTTACTTTCGTAGAAATTTTTAAATTTACATGTCATAAATCAACTATTTGTGACTATAATTAAACTATATATCAAATTGTATACAATATATCCGGATTTAATAGCCCATGCAGGAATTAAAAGAAACGAACTAGCAGATCAAGCTGCTTCTGCCGCCATTCGCTCTCCCTTGTTCTTATTCAGGACATCCGAAAGAAAATAAATTTTAAAATTTATAAACAAACATATGGAAGACGAATGGGCTATGGAATGGTCAGAGTACAACCATCACTACAAATCGATCAATACCAGTGGTTTAAAAGCTATATATCCACTACTATGCACTCGTCAACAATGTAAGAGTTTTATCCGATTGCGAATGTGACATTCAAAGCTTTTCCATGAACATGTTTTGAGTGGCGATCAGCCATCAAACTGTCGATTCTGTAATAGCACACCATCCACAGATCATATACTTAACGATTGCCCTTCTTTTAATTCTATTCGTAGTAATATCTTTCCTAATATCTTACCTAAAATTTAATTTATAATATCCGAGCTGAAGGCTCTTGCAGCTTTCGCTACCAAAATTGATTTAGTAGCGATACTTTATGAGTTGGATTAGTGCATTTATATAGTTTTTTGTATTACCAACTGATTGTAGACAGCACAGTTAGATCCCGTTTCTGCGATTTAAAACCTTTGAAATTTGTTGATATTAATAACCATAAGTTCACCAAGATTTATAAAGACTACCTTATCTAGGGTACTTGCTTTTTGCTTCCAAAGAACAAGTCATATCTCCAGAGAAAATGTGAAATAGTTCCTTTTTCCTCTATCTGATTCTTATATTAGATGGATATATATTTTAATACTTATTTTTAACTTATATAAATAAAGTACATCAGTAAACTACAGAAAAAAACACGACTTTCATAGTTTCCAGAAAAAATGTGCGAACATAAAAGTTGGGTACGGCTTTGAGTCAATTGTTTAAGGAGCGCTGACTCTGAGCTTCAAATTTGACAGGGTACGACCTCGATTCCTGGTACTTGCATTCTCAAAAAATTATTTATGTATTTGGCAATACTCGAAATAGCTGTATAGTCACCCAAAAATTCAATTAATTAAAAATAATATAAAAAAAAAACAATTTTTGTTGTTGTAGTTCGCTACTTTTCGAAAATGTCTTTAAAAAATATTTAAAAAATAATTATACTACCTTCACATTCCCTTCCCAGTCCATTAACAGCATTCATTGATGGCATAGCTTTAGTTTTGTGCTAATATTTGAAATTTCATTAAAATAATAAATATAATTATTGTATCATTTTATATTTTTTTTAAAACGGAAATTATTTAGCATGAAAATATAAATTCCAATTTGCTGCAAATTAGCCATTCCGTAAATGCTTTTAGAGTTTTGTTGAAGTGTCTCCTGCAGATTTTGCACATTTCATCGCTTCATCGCGCCATTGTGTAAATGTGTCAGAAAAGAGGAGCTTAGGTTTTTATTGCAGTTTCATCCATAAATGTAGACAACAATACAAATGTACATTGTACATTTTATGACTTAACACACTTTCCTTTCTGAGCATTCAATTCTGATTCTAACAATAAAACTCTTGAGTATTTGTTAAGCAAAATAACAAAAGAAATGCTTTTAACAGCTTTTTCTTCCACTTCTCCAGCTACCACCAGGAGCATTGGAATAATCTGAATTGATAATATCGCGGCGGCATTATTTCTGCTCTGTGCCATCGCACTGCTTCACAAAAAAAAAAAAAAATAAAAATAAAAATAAATGCAATATCTATGCAATTTTGTCAAGGAAATAATATAACGTATACTGCAGTTACATATATTCGATAGGATAGGGTAGTATATTTGCAAATATGCATAAATCCTTTAATTATTTAGTCTAAGGAGAATAAGGAATGATTAAAGTCAAATAGTATTACAGGAACTATAATTAAATAGCTCTACATACTTCAACAGATTTATAAAATAATAATTCATTTATAATATTAAATAAACTATATTTAATTGTGAGTCATTCATGAATATTATTTACAGAAATAGTTAATTCTTATATTGAAAATAACACACTACTTATGTTTTACCTAAATTTAAATGGCTTTACATCTCCCACAAAAGTATATACTTTATATAATGTATATATATACTTCATTTACAAGTATTCTTTACATACTTTGTAGTGTATGCATATACTTTATAGTGTATGTACAATAGTTTATAATAAAAACAAATAAAAGTTAAAAGCGCTATTTACCAGCACTAAAAATTCAATAAAGGGCGCTTCAGACTAAATATAAACAGTCTAAAATATAAATTGGAGGGCCGCAGTAACAAATACATACGTCCATGATCTTTATTAATAAATTTAGTTAATGTTGTTAAATTTAGTTTTATAATTTTTTTATTTTAATTTTGATTGATTTACCATATAAATAAAATGATGTAATTCTACGAAGAAAATACCGAAGAAAAATTTGCGTAGTTTAGGTTAGAAACATGCGGGCCGCATGTAGCCCATAATTTGTGGTTTGGACAACCCTGGTATATAACAAGCAGTTTTCCATTTAAAAAATGTTTAACGGTTTAGACCCCTTTTGTTGCTTCAGCAAAAATATCAGTTTCTTTAGGTTTTGTTCCAAGTAAATATTTTTTTGTCGTGATAAAACTGATCATTGAATTATATTATATAATTTTTAATACATCATAAAGTATGTTAAGTAAAACTGCTAAGTTGCTTATATTTATACCATGTACTAATTCATAAAAAATATTAATTGTTGATCTATAATTGTGGACAGATAGGTAAACATATATTTTGGGATTTAAAACTTATTCTATTAATTATTTTAAAAAAGCATAATTAGTTAACGAATTCAATAAAAAATTTTTACCGTTTTTAATTAAAAACAGTTTCTGAATTTTTAAGTCCGATTCATTTAAATAATGTGTGTATATATAAGCATTTATCGAACTGTACAGTACTGAAGCGAATCAAACCCATATATATTTTCCAGGTCGGGGTCGGGTTTTGCTTCAGACGAAATATCTTTTTATAATTTAGTTAAGAAAGGATTTTAGTTAAGAAAAGGACTAAAAGCATTAGTATCTTAAGAACTGTTAACATTCATGGAATCATTGACATCAATTAGACCATTGATATAAATAAGAACATTGATATCAATTAGACCATTGATATCAATTAGACCATTGATATCAATTAGACCATTGATATCAATTAGACCATTGATATCAATTAGACCATTGATATCAATTAGACCAATGATGTCAATCAGACCATTAACATTATTTAGACCATTGGTATCAATTGGATCACTAACATCAATTAGGCTATTGATATTTATTAGGCTATTGATATCAATTAGACTATGAACAACCTCATTTATGAGGCAAAGATCTGTCAATGACCGAATCACAAGCGTACGGGAATTAAAAATAGATGTAGCATATACTTTGGAATGCCTGAGGGATTAATAGGTCATGAGACTATATTATACTTATAACTTTGTGTTAACAAATTACAAATACATATTAATATATAATAACTCTATATATAATAACTTTCTGATATATGAATCGTTAGTGTCCAGCTTATTATTTTAATATTTGAATTATAAAATGCTTGTAGTAATAAAAAACCAAATTTTTGTTAATAAATCCAAAAGAAACTTTTTATTACTTTTACAATTTTGAATAAAGTAATTCCACAAAAGTTAAAAATTTTGGTTAAAATTGTAAATTAAAACAATGAATTTACAAGATGTTAAAAACAATTTAAAAAATTCAAAAATAGTTAACAATGCAAAATATAGATGCCTTATACATGTTCTAAGTACTTTATAAAATCTTGAGATACCATCATGAACATTTATTGCCCATTAAAATCGAGGACTTTTGTGGAAATTTATTTAATTTTTTGCTGTTATTTTCTTTTTTTTTTTAAATTTCTCGTTAAAACAAATAATTTTTACTTGCATTTGATTGTTCCTTTGGATTTACAATTCTTTTAAGAACATTAATACATTAAAAATAAAATTATTTCCAAAAATTTTTTCTGACATCCCGGTTTCTTCATCTCATTTAGTTCCCGGATCGATGTTTCTTCATCTCCGATAGTTAGATATATCGTTATGGAAGAGTATTTTATATCAGTTTATTGATTCTATTGATTATATTATTTTATATCTTATTATATATATAAGATATAATATTAATATCTATATCTTTTATTGTTTATATTTTATTACATATATTTTAATAAAATGTTTTAATATTATAATTTTTTTATTACTATATTTTTTATTATTATTTTTTTTATTTTCTTATTAAATGTTTAATTATATATTTTGTATTACATATTTTTTTAATATTATTTTTTTTTATATATATCCTTGTTATATAATTTTATATTTTATTTTTTTTTATACATAGTTTTTGATATAAACATTTTTTATTATATTTTTATTACACATATTTTATCAAATATAAATATTTTTATTTTATATTTTAATTTTATAATTTTATTACTTATTTTTATTTTATAAAATTATTTCATATTTTTATTTTATTATTTTTTGATGGGTTTTTGTCGAGTTTTTTTTTAATTATACTATATTAAATACATTTATATATTATATTATATATTTATGTATATTAAATTATATTTTGTTATACATCTCTTCATTACACATTTTTTAATTTTGTTATATTTTTTTTATTATATATTCTCTGATTATATATATATTTTTTTAATTTTATTTTTTGTTATTATACATTTTTCTGATAAATGTTTTTTTTTCTAATATATATTATTTTATTATGTATAAAAGTTATTTATAAAATAATTTTATCTTCCAATTTATTGATATTTATTACTATTATCAAAAGTTTATTATCAAAATCGTGGAAGTGAATTTTAATTTTAAAGTTAAAAAAAGTTAAAAAATTTGCAAACTTTTTTTTTATTTCAGTTAATTTTAAAAAATCTTAGCCAATTATAAAATTAAGAATTTAAGTTGAATGCTTTTTAAACTTTAAACATAAATTTTTAATAATATTTTGTAATATATTTTATTTTGTACAAAATACTATTTATGTAATTTATCTTATATATATTACAATTTGAACACTTCCAAAATTTTAGGTTTTAATTATTTTTTTTTAATTTTTGAATTATAATAATTTTTATATATATTTATTTATTTATATTTATTTAATTTTAAATAATATTTATTTAATTTTTTTCTTTTATTTTTTAATTTAAGTAATTACTTAAAGTTTTTATTATAAAATACTCGAGTTTTAGTAGTAGCAGAGGCTTTTATTGGTTGTTCGTTTGACGGTGAATCATAAGTTGGTCTCTTTCTTACCTCAACGTTAAGACGATGATTGCTATTAGCATTAATTGGCAACATAATAGGCTAAAAAAAAATTAAAAAATTTTATATAGATAATATAAATTTATTTAAAATTATGATTTACTTACACGCTTCGACAAGCAATTGTACATGTCCTCTTGATTTTTGTATGTTATAAAACAGTAATTTGGAACAGTGGGACTGTTTGCTTTAAATAAAGCAATTTCACTTATTTCACCATATGATGAAAAGACCGATATTAAAATATCCTTGGTAGCACTTGTGGGTACTCGTCCAACAAATATTTGATTTGGTTTATAAGCTAAAAACTCTAATTAAATGTATTATTAAAATTTAAATAGTTTTTTATAAAAAAATTAAGCCGCAAAAATAATTAAAATTAAGAACAAGGACGTATAGCTAGAAAAAAGAATTTTTGGTTATTTGAAAATTTTTTAACTTAACAAGTAGTCATCTTTAATCTACAGTTCTGAACTAGTAACTAGATTTTAAAAAATTATTATAAATAAAGCTGTGGCAATAATTAAATAATTATAATTATTTAATTTAAATATAATATAATAAAAAGATGTTTGTTCTGTAATTAGAGAAATGAATTAAAACTACAGTAGATCTCCGCTAATTCAGATTAATCGGGGTTAATCTGGATTACGGAGACTTTAGAATTGGTAAAGTCATACTAAGAATTTAGGAGAAATATTTTATATACTTATAAATTTATTTTAACAAAAAGTGAACAATTATTTACTGCTCAATTAAATTAATTCATTAAATAAATGTGATTTATTTCATTAGACATGTTCATAGCACATGATTGTTGTTAACGAATCAATAGTCTATCCGGACTACAAGGCACGTAATGCTATCTAGTATTTTTTAAATTTGTTCGAATAACTGTGACATTATCTGAGATTGGGTTTGGCGGATATCCACTGTAATGCCAAAATAAAATTATATCCTCCTACATATTTACCCAAAACTATTTACATATAACTATTTATACTATAAATAATACTATTTATTTAGTAGCACATCTACTATGAAACCACACTATTGTTTTTACTCTAATTCCCTGTTACATACCTCTACGTGAACGATCCCTAGTGTTTCTGTTATTGTCCTTATTGTCCGTATTTCCAGTTTTTTGCTTATCTGCTTCATTGCCATATGATTTTTGTGTTTTATAGATTGATTTTTTTGGTTGATTCTGGTTAGTGTTATAATTTTTATTTGAATGTTCATATCCGCCATTATGAAGCCGAGAAGCATATGTTTCACTTTCATTAAAACTAACCATTTTTCTTTTAGAATTATTGTCTGATTTTGGAGTCGGAGTAGAATGTGTATTAGTTTTAGAGGCAGATTTTCCAATATCTTTATTTACTGTACGAGCATCAACAAATTTTTCAGTTTTGCTCATTGATTTACGAGGAGTAAACTGTTTTAAAGGCTTTGGTTTATCATCTGTGGACTGAATTACATCATTTATACTTTTTGAGTCATCGTCCTTAGTATCGACGGTGCCATTCTATTTTAAAGGGAACATTACAAGTTTTTCATAAATCAGTTTATAATATATATGTATACTTACAGGTGGAGTAGTTGTATTCACATTCTTATTGAACTTCTTCCTTTTATTGGTTTTGTTTTTCTTCTCAGGTGTATTGTTTTCCTCAGAGGCAATAATAGCTTTACTTTCTCCCATTACGTTAGTGGATTCAATTAAGTTGTTATTGTTGAAACACTGTTGTTCATCTGAAACAAGTATTGTTGAGTTTAATCCAAAATCGACGTTACTTATATGAAGATTTGTTAACAAGCTCTTCATTTTATAATTCTTTTTCTTTTTTGTCTTTGATGTAGTTGTCTTACTTTCTTCTTGCTCCTTCAATTTTCCCAACTTTTTAGCTTCTACACCCATACGAAACTTTTTATATCTTTTCGACTGTTTATGCGTCCCATTCACTAGTTGATCTTCTATTAAACGCAAAATAGTTTCTCTTGACATTTTTGTTCTTACATAATAATGACTACACCTACCGTATTCATCATCTATATTAGGAGTAATTGGTGGGGGAATGTATGTTTTTTTAATTTTACTACGTACATTAACAGGTGGATATTCCTCTAAGTATCTACTTGATTGATGGAACATACTTTTTGGCCCTGTGTAGCCAGATCCATCGTTTTCGTCGGCATTTTGCATTGGTGGAAAACTTACTAAAGGTACATTCCAAGCTTGACGAACTTGAGGAAAAGTTGTTGGAACATTAATCAATTTTGATTCTACGTTTGTAGTCTTCTGTTTTGTTGCAGTAATAATATTATCAACATTATTATTTTCATTATCAGCGATAGATGGTATTTGAATCGGTTCTGCTTGTTCAATTATTTGAATTTTTTCTTCAACTTTTTCTTGTGTTGCGGCATCATTATTACTTTCTTGAAAATTGTCTTCAGATGTTTCCCTATCAAAGAACCAAATTTGATCGACGTTATCTTTAAGTAATAAAGCTTCTATTTCTGCTAAATCACTTAAAGGACCTTTGTCAACTGGTTCTGTCAACGATATAGTAACATTTGGCACCGCCGATTGTACGTCTACACTTTCACTTTCAGTTATTTCAAAACCACTCGCAAAAGCTATGTTAGAGCAATTTTGATCATCTAATGGAACATCTGACAATGTCGTAGAAACATTGATTACAAATGGCTCCGCAATTTGTGATTTTTGTGTAGTTTCACTTGTTCTGATTTCACATAATTGTACATCTGTATCATATGTTGTATCTATATCCGATTCATTCACCATATACTCATCCTCATAGACAAAAACATCGTTTAGGACAACGAATTTATTAGTAGTTTGTGCAGACAGTACAAACATCTGAGTGAAAGGTCGCTCATCACTATTATTATCAAAACTAATTGTTCCACCTGTTTGAACGAGAATGTCGCGTTCTATTGATTCTTGTGCATCAATATAATTAATACGTATCGTTGAATTTTGTAAATTTAAACCCATAATACATTCATGTATACTTTTTTGTCCCATTGCTTCTGGGAGTTTACCATGCTTATATGTTGATGTTTTCATATAAAATCGATGCATGTTTTTTAGAGATTTACCCATCATGCTATAATAGAACTTAATAAACTCATTACCAACTAATATAGGCCGCGCTGGTGCGGGAGCTGTAACTACATCATTTCCTATATATAAATCAAAAAATGTTAGCGTTCGATTTTGTAATTAAAAATGAAAGTACCTGGTACAGGTAGTGGTAGCGATGGTGAAGGTGATGGTACGAGTGTAGGTGTGGCTGTGGCTTCAGTCATTATAAAAAGTAAAAATTCTTCAAAATTGTCCTTAAAATGTTGATAGATATATTAAAATAATATTTGCCGTTGTTCACTTCACACAATATACTTCACAAATACAAAGGATATACTTACCTGTAATAAATGATATATAAACTATTTACAAAAAAAGTTTTTTCTTGTTAATTTGAACTTGAAAACACTGTTTGCAAACGTAATGATATAATATTAGATATTTGTAGGGACCAAAATTAGACATTTGCACAGGGTGAAGAAGAGTTCAATGATAGTCCAGTACAGCTTCAAATCTTCCCGATATTTTAATTCTGTAAGTAATTAATACATTGCATGTATGAAATAGCTATGTAAGGTAGAATTAATTACTTACTTCCAATTGTTCGATGCTTCTTAGCCTTGATTTTATATAATTTTGTATTTATGGTTAGGATAAATACAAAATACTTGATTAAGCCAATATCTAAACTAAAAAGAATATATAATTTTATAGTATTACTTCATATTAATAATTTTAATTCCATATTTTGTGCACCATACATACTATGCACATACTATACAACAGCAATATATATGTTTGCTATTTAAATAGAAGACAATCATTATATATAAATGCTTAAAAAACTATAAATGTTCTACCCTCTAATTTTTTTCGGAAACATGTATAAGTTTATAAAATTGAACTCTATAAATATATACCGAACTTACTATATACTTATTTTTATTAATATGCAGCATATAATCTTAAAGAATCTTCTTCACAAAAGAACTTAAGTCTACGATCAGAATATATTAAATTAAACCTTAAAGTAACCATATAATTTCAAAGAAACCATATATTCTCTTCACAATAGACTGCGATCAACATTTTTTTTACTACAAGAACCACGCCACTACTCTTTTCTAAAAGCATGTTGAAGAAGTGTTTGAAAATGTTGAGCGGAATATTCCTCATGATGTCGGTATGTCTTTTAAAAAATTGCAATCTTCACAAAATACTTTCCTTTTACGATTATTCCCGGCAAGTATATTTTTTTAAATAATCAAGTATCTAGGGGCTGTTGTTTTTACCGACGCATATAACTGCCAATAGATCGCCACATTACAAATACCTATTTTTCAGAAGTAGGTATTAATATAGGCAATATTTTTTCTTCTATATTGCCCATTATAAAGTTATGAAATTAGCAGATTTTAGGCCAAAAAGCTATAAACTATTAAGAATTTCAATTCCGATTTTATAAATTTCAAGAGATTTTGACATTTATGTTCCATTATCTTAAGCGTTCGATTATACATTTATACCTTCAAGATATATTTATTAAGTCAAAAATCTATTAGAACCATAAAATGAATACGAAATTTTTTTTCATGGACAAACCTTAAGCAGAGGCTACATCAGCAAGTTTTTTGTTAACTAGTTCGAAATTTTTTTAGCTGTGACGAATAGTATCTGTATTATTTTAGATTTTAATAATAAAACTATTGCCCATTTTTATATAGGATTATTATTTTTTACTACTTTAAAAAATTTTGATTATGATTACACAAATTTCACGAAGTTTCTTTTAGATCTGGCGATATCAATAAAAACTTACATTTGATTAGAAATGCTTTCCACGTCGTAAAATAATTCAATTAATTGTCTTTTAATTTTAACCAAAAAAAAAAAAGACCATTTATTTAAATATAATTTATAACACTCAGGTTGCTACCACTTTTTCCAACTAAAGTTTTCAAAAGAATAAAAATATATTTGTTTGATAGAAGCTAAAAAAATGTCAAAACTTTTAACCTCAAAATGTACAAAAATTTAAGATGCAATATTTGCGCGTTCCTTATATCAAGTAATGCCGTATTCTTTCATACAGCGTTTTTTAGAAATCAATCTCAAATTTGTTTCTTGTAAGTCAGAAAGAGACAACAAAAATGATTATAACGGCATATGAATGAACAGTTATTCTCATGTCCCATTTATGCAATTCGTAAGGAGAAAAACGCGTGTGAATCAATAAATTTTGATTAGAACTTTGATTAGAATTAATAATTAACATGAAACGTGGAGAAAATACGTTTTAAAGAATTTCCTTATATATATAATAATATACACACATTTTTACAAAGAACGTGGTGTGAAGAGTATTATTTTGTTTTCGGGTCTTTATTCCATTATAGTCTCACACGTAGCAAATAACGAAAAAGAAAAATGGCGCCACAGATGCTTCTGTTCTCTCTCGCACTCATAGAAAATATGTGGCTTATAAAAATATATGGCTTATAACAGACTAATAGGAAACATTTCAATAAAATTTTTATTATTTTAGATTTATAAACAAATTTTATCAAATGGAAGCGATTGTGTACGTTTTTAAATGAAAATAACCCACAATTCAAATTAATTAAAAAATTTAAGACTATATATAATAAAAATAAACTTTCTTAAACTTATATAAAAAGTTACGCATATGTGACAAAATTTTAGTTTTTATATAAGTACTTATTCCATAACTTACCAACTTTTTTCACCACAATAATTGTCAAGCCAATTAGTTTGTACGATCACTTAACATTCAGAAATGCGTTTTCTTAACATAATCTCCTTGTAATAGCTGTCCATTTCTTCTCACTCATACTATAACCAAACTCAACGAATTCCGAATTAAAACTGTAGCTAAATCCCACAACACAATTATTATAGCTTTTTTTGTGCAATATTCGTTTAATTATTCACAATAGTTCAGACAAATTATTGAAATTCACAATGAATAATATCAAATGTTTGCTTTTGTATACACCAGTCATATTAGAAAAGCTTGAGTTCATAATCCACTTAATTACTATAGATACAATAGTTTTTTGAGAGTTATTTAATACATGGCAAAATATTTAATACAAATAAATTAAATTAATTTAATTAAACTTGATTTAAAATAGGTTACCCCTACTTGTTAACGGCAGAATTAGTCGCTAGCTTAGTTTTCAATGAAGTTTATTACTAATATTCATTTCGCATGAAAAATTTATATCAAATTTCTTATAAAATTAATTTCAATAAAATTTTGACATTGTAGAAAATTATTATTATATAGATTGAAAATAAAATAAGTCAGCTGATTGCTTATGGCACAACTAATTCAACTTTAGGGTTTACTTACTAATTAGGTGATGTAACAAAAACTCAAGAAAACACTTGAAACAAAAATTTTTTGGTAATTTAATGGTTTGTCATATGTAATAATACTATTTGCTTTATAAATGATGTTAAAGTTGAGCCATCCTTATTTACCGACGAGGACACAGTTATACTATGATTCAAAGGTAGACAATGAATAAAACAATGTTTACTACTTCTATGAATTTAGTCGTGTCAAAAATTGATGTCTACCATTCATGCCGGTGAGAGTTTTTTAATTTTAAACATCAAAGTTAAGATTGTAATAGGTGCAAATACAACTTGCTAAATAACAGTTGTATACTTTAAATTTAACTACTAATTCAATTTTCAATTTTGGCATATTTTTATAATGTTATATATTTTTTATGTTATATATTTTTTTATATATTTTATATCTGGCTATAGGTCACTTTTTGTTAAAATTAAACATTTGTTTAAAATTTTTTAATATATTCTATATTTCGACTCTCCTTCAGAGTCATTAGCAGGATCAGGATCTAACATAAATTAATATTAATAAATTCTATATATAAATGTCATGCACTAATAACTTTTTAACTCTTCATGTATCCTCCATACTTCGCTGTCATTCCTTGTTGTACTTAATCCTCGATCATAATTCGTAAATTTCCTTACACTTAGTGCGTTATATAATTCTTTTAATATGAATTTAGAACTTCTAACTCTGAAATGGCTATTAGAGGGTGGTTCTCTTTACTCTTAATACGTTTCCAGACAGAAACTATAACACAGGCTGTGTTTTGCTCGGTGATTTATTAGTGCAAGTTAGTGACAAGATTTAAAAAAAAAAATTCAGCTATTCTTCATACACATAATATCATACAAGCTCCACTTGTATAAATTTATAAGGACACACAAGTTAGAACAAAATTAATAATAATTTAAACTATAAAACTAAATTAAATTTAGTATGTTTCTTATGATGATGTTTATATTAAAATATATATCCATTTCCATATCATGTAGCAAATATATATTAAAAATACATTGTCATTGTAACAATAAGTTCTAAAAAATATTGTGCCTTGATAACATAATTACACAAAAAAAACTTCTTTGAACACTTTTATGCGGATTTGGTACGAAAAATTGCACTCGTTTGATACTCATAGTGCTAATTGCCATTATTGTCATCTTATCCACTCAAGGCACTTATCATAACATATGTTGTTCGGATTTTAGTACTTCCATTTCTTACTTTTAGTACTTCCATTTTGTACTTTTAGTTCGTGTATGTTCGAACGCAAATGTTGAAAGTTTTTTTTTTGAACCAAAAATTATGCGACATTAAACTGCAGATACGGAAGAGGTGATGTCGGGAACTGTTGATTAATTAATGAATAATTATTCAATTTTTATTTAAAGATCGTAGTTTGTGTTATTTTACACTTATTCTTTGTGGTTAATAATTTGTAATAATTAATATTTTAATTAAATTTATAACAATATACATATGAATGGCTTTATGATTATGCGCAGCTGCCTTTCTTTACAACTATACACTATATTTGTTAAAAGATATTAATACTATGGAAAGGACACGAAAACAAGTACTCAATACACTTTCTTGATAAATAATACTTAAATTATGTTTTTTTTCAGCATTTTGTTGTGAAAAAGTTATTAATAGGTTTCCTAACTATAATATTAGCAAGTAGCAGAGTTCAAACAGATGGTAGTGCCGTTAGATACTAAACTCTAATTCAATATATGTATAATAAGGTAAGAAATTATTTAATAAATTTAATTAATAAATTTAATTAATACATGTAATAATTACTGTATCTTACAAGTATTAAAGATAAAGTTGTGTGGTTAAATGATTCATGTTAAATTTTCTCAATTTGCTGGTATTAGTTTGGGTAGTTAAAAAACTAATAATTAGAGATATGTATATAAATAATATAAGTAAATATAAATAAAAAAATTAAATATATAAGAAAACAACAGGATTGCAAGACTTCAAATAAATATAGAACATAGAAAAATGTGTTTGGAAAATCAAGTCAACTATTTTTTTATGAATAAGTACAATAACAGTTGATTTAAATTGACATGTGCTAATATTTTTTCAATAATCCATATTTTTATTTTAAGATTTTTATATTAATATATTCTATCCAACAGTTATGAAAATTTTATTTAATTAAAAATTAAATAAATGCAACATTTAAGTTCTCGAAATACTTTTTATAAGTATTCTTTGATATGACAATAAGTTTTTTCTCGGAATTCACTTTTCGTTATAGATTCAATCAACCCATTTTTCATA